TGAGATGACTTTATTATTGTTTTTTAAAATATTTTTTTTAAAAAAATTTGTTTATTAAAAATTTTGACAAAAAATATATATTTTAGAAATAATAAGAATGCAATCCCAAATGCAATTTTTTATATTTGATTTTTTTTGTCAACAAAAGGCTTGCATGTTTTCACATTTGTTTTTATTAAAAAATAATAATAAAGAATGAAAGAAGAAAATATGTTTAATAGTATCTTGTTTTTAAAATTAATTAATTTTTTTTAAATGATTTTTAGTTGTTTATTTATTTATTTATTGCTCGGGTCTTTTCCTTTGCGACGTTAATGAGGTTAATCCTCACATTATTCCTTGCCCTATGTTCGATGTTGACTCAACATCTTGCATTTAGCCCTTAGCAAGTTAAATTAAGTTAATATTTAATAATAATAATAATAATAATAATAATAATAATGTAATTACTAATAATAGTTATAAGTGAATCATAATATTACCTAAATTAATTACTCGTATTTTAAAATTAAATAAATATATATAATGAAATACAAAAAGTTAATTTTTCATATTTATGAATATGATAAATGAATTTCTGTATTAATCAAATTCATTTGCTCTTTTTGCTCCTAAATTTTATTTACAGTTTCTTTTATCTGTTAGAAAGCCTAAGGGCCATCTTAGTTGGTGGAAATCCTCAACTTCGATCCGAGAGGATTTGAACACTTAATCATGCTCTAAACTAGGGGCCGCGTATTGTTAATCAGAGTCGTTGTTTGGCTCTTTAATTGTTACGTATCTTATTTTGATATGTTGGTTAGGAGCTTTAACAATCAACTAAGAGAGTCTAAATTCAAATCTCATCTATACAATTTCTATTTGTCATTCTATGTATCACTTCTCGCAATGCCATATTCAATTTTTACATTTCAGCTTTTATTATTATATTATTATTTTTATTTATGTACATGATAAAAAATCAGCTGGAGACAAAAAAGCGTGATTAAAACAAATATTTTGTAGACATTAAGCTCAATAAACACATTCATATCAATTTGACAAAGAAAATAATTATGTGATAATTTGAATTTAATTATAATTTTTATCAGTAGTTGCATTACACTCAAACTTTGACCTCCAAGGAGTAAATTAAGTATTATTTCAATCCTCATAGATTTTATAAAAATAAATGTAAAATTTATAATAAAAATAGAAGATTATTTCTTTGCAATTTATCACTTATCATTGCATTTGAGATATGTCGATACTCATAGGTGCAATTTAATTATTCCGAGTATAACAAAATAAGCATTTCTTCTTCATAAATTTACACATTGGGAATATACAAATTTTGAAATCATCAAATGAAAACGTTTAGCTCTTTCAACACATACAAACAAAACAAAATGTTCTGAAGATAAGCTTGCCGGAATTTCATGGAACCAGGACAGCTTATTCTTTGAAAATATTGAATAGAAAATCAAAATGAAGCTCAATCACGTCCATATAAATAACCATTTGATGCTAACTGAGAACAAAAAAAAACTTCACTCAACGCAAAAATGTTATATTCACACGCCTATTCAAACCTGATCCACTAATAGTACTAAACTTCATTGAAAAATTGGTGTCACCTTGTATCCCTTATGAATGATTGGAAAGAATTGATTCATTACAACAAGAAGAAGAAAAGAATGCCTACTTGTCTCCCTGCTATGTCTCAACTTGAGCCACTTATCTCTCTCTCTGGAAGAAGGCTGTCCCATGGAACAAGAGAAATTGTGCTGGTGGTGTGACTTCTGCAGCCCTTGATTCGACTATCGTCAAAATCCTCTTCGCTTTCTATGCTGCATTCCATGGCTGTAATCTGTTCAAGCATGCACTGATCGATGGTGCCATCTCTGAACACGTAGATGCCATCGTCATCAATGTCACAGCCCTTCATTGGGCGGTAGGCCTTCTCGAAAACACGATCTTGCAGACGAGTGAGAGGCATGGCCCTATATCATCACAAGTTCGAGTGTTGAGGAAGCAATTCATTGATATAATTCATGTAGGAATAGCATAATTTGAATTTTACTCGACCATGATTTATAAGAAAAAGAGGGATTCATAAATTTTATGGATCATTTAGGCTTCGTTTGCGACGGCTTTTTATTGCTTCTTAAAGCTGCTTCAAGAAGCAGTAAGAAAGCTGTCCCAAACGAAGCCTTAATTTGAATAGAGGCATGGATTTTGATATCACTAGTTTTAGAGTGTTGATCACCGGGAAGAGTTGGAACCAATTCACTTGCGATTGACTGCTATGAACCCAAAAATTTATCAGCCAATTGAAAAGGTACTCTAGAATATTAGGAACCAACTCTTTTTTTTCACTAGAGAGAGGCTAGCCGACCATTCCTCTTGAACCATCTGATACTATAGAACTAACATATAAAATCTTTCATTGTAAACAATCAGATATGAAATAGCATGGCTGTTAGAGGGAATTGACACTAACTTACGGCAGTTTTCATGTCAAATTTGATCAAGAATGGTCTGTCCATACTAAATACTCACAAAGCATGTTAGGTGATAATATTTTTCTCATTTTGGGGAGAGAAACTGTTGCATTATATTTAAAAATGCAGAAACTTGGTTTCGAAATTGATTATGATGAACAACATACCCTGAAAGCTTCACATAAATCCTATGCCTGATTGTCTAGAAAATAAGTTTCCATTAGTAAGCACATTCCTATTTGAGGGAACTCTCATATTTTGAACAATTCAAGCAGCTGAACTCAAAATTCTTCTAAACTCGCATTTGCTTTAATTTAATCTTTTGATATAATTTTTTTTTCTTTCAAAATTGTTTCCTGATGTTTCATAATCAGGATATATGAGCTCAAATGAAACTCAATGAGATGCATGATGATATGAATTGTAAGTCGAGCTCAACTAGAATCAAGTTGAGCTTGAGGTTTATTTGAGAAGGCATTTTTACTGCTTCTTAAAGCATCTTTTTAGTACAAAAATTAAATTTTTTGTATTGAGAAGCTGCTTTGAGAAGCAGTAAGAAAGCAATCCCAAACGAAGCCTGAATCAAAATCAAGTGAGCTCTACATCCGAATGAAAAGCCAAAGTTGGATGAGTAAAAAGTACAAGCTACACTAATTTGATAAGTAAATTTCAAACAATAAATAGCTCCCTATAATAATCATGTTTTCCAAGCCATTGAAACACAATATATTCGTCATTTGATTGAATCTAATTAAAAAAATATTCACTTCAAACTTCAAGACCCTTCCAAAATTCCATCAAATGTAATGATTTTGTTCCCACACATAAGATAACAACAACAACAAGCATTTGTCCCACAACATGGGATCGGCTACATGAATCCTTTTTCACCATTGTGTTCTGTTAAAAGTCAAATTCCCATTTAAATCTAATAAAGAAAGACTATTTCTAATGTTTTCTAACCAAGTCTTTTTAGGTCTACCTCTACCTTTCTTAACATAAGTCAAATCTAATACCTCAACTTTCCTAACAGGGTCATCGGAAGGCCTCCGTTTAATGTGACCAAACCATCAAAGACAACTCTCTCTAATCTTATCTTCCACTAGTTTCTTAAAGGATTCATGTCATGATTATTCGACAAGTTTTACGCTGGCTGTCGACTACCTAATTCAACACTCGACTTTTATCATTCAGGACTTGGGACCTAGCAACGACAGTGTTTTCCCACATATAAGATGAATAAAAATAAAATCATCATTTTTTCAACATATTTTCTATTTTTCAAGCAACCAAATGATCTATCAAATACATCCATCACCCGTAACAAAGTTCTATAAATCATACTAATGTTGATTTAATGAAAAATTATGAAAAAAATAGATTTTTTTTACGCAAATGCCACCTAATTTTCTTTTAAACATATTAAACTTCATTCTTCATATATATCTCAATGCCACTCCAATCCACTCCATTTTATAAACGCGAACCCAAATCCTACCACAAATAAAAAAATCATAATGCACATGTGACAAGCACATAGCCACTCATTAGTATTAAAAAAAGAAGCTTTATACAATAAAGGCCTACTCTTTTCTCTTAATCGCACAGCCACTACCATTATTTGAGCGTGCGGTACTATGACCGCCTACCTTGGTTCCCTCACGTCTCGATAACAGACCGACAGCAGTCGTACAACATTGATGAGTATGGCGACTGTGACAAGAACCAAAGAGGTCGTGAGGGACTCCATGGATAGTTAAATATAAAATGAATTAACAGCAATATAGTTTGTTAAAATTTTTATGTGTTATTTAAAAACCCCCGAAAATTTGATTTCTACATATAAACATTGATCTTAGGAATTTTATTAATTAATAAAAAAAATTAAAATCAAGCAGAATTGTAGCGACTATCACAAAAATAAAGATGGGAAAAAGCTGGCTTAAGCGGACCACCGCCGGTCCGCCGCCCGAATAGAAGGGAAAAGTATTGCACGCGCATCATGGGAGAAGTTGCGCAGAAAATAAGAAAAACGTCTGAATATTTGTTTTTTTGGGAAAGAAAACGTTTGATTTCAAACTTCAAATCTCTCACGCTCGAAAAAAAATTAAAAAAGTTTAATGGTATTCCTGTAAATAATCCTTAAAACGATGACCTTTTTCCCGTACGTTCAATGCAGAGTGATCGAAAAAGTCATGCTCAGTGGCACCCTCGGTAAATATAGGCAACTACAGTGTCAATTACCACAAAACCACCCGGCTGCCCGCCGTCCAAGGCCCAAAGAAAAGAATAGAAAAAGACAACAAGAGAAGAAGAAGAAGAAGAAGATGATGAGGAAGAAAAAATCATACGAATTGAAATGAATAAACTAACCTGACATGAAAGAGATTATGAACTTCAGCAGGCGAGATATATTGCTCAAGAACGCATAGGAAAGCCTTATACACGAGGAGGTGAAGCCCATCGATCCTCGGAAATGGCAGCCTCGGCCGCGGCTTCAGATCACCAGGAAACGCTGCCGACGATATCGAAGTTGGCGGCGGAGGGCCGAAACAGTACTCCTTCCACTGCATCGCGGCCGCGGGGTCTTCGTTGGAGAGGGAAACAAAGCCGACGGAAGCCATGATGGGCTCGAGATCGTCGTGGGTAATGATGGGGCGAAAGGTCGTTGTGTGCCACAGCGCCAGCTTTTTCGCCACGTCTTGCATCGCGATCTTCATGAAGAAAACGACGATGAAGATCTACGTTGTTAGGGTTATTGTTGGCAGTTCTGGATTTAGGGTTTTGGGAGTGGAGATTGTCTTATGAACACGATCTTCTGTGTCTATTTCTCTTTTTAAGAATTAGGAGAGACGCAGGGGAATAGAATAGGAGGGAACCGCTTCGGGATTTGGGGATAGAATGACGATGATGCCCCTCCCTTGGGTTCAGAGCTTCTTTATTTTAATAGGATATTTAGGCGTATCTTTCACTTTAATTTTGAACTTAAATGAGGGTAAATAGGGGAAACGGTTGTATAGTGTAAGTGCGCAAGGAGTGCTGAATTTAGAATTGACTTCTTCTTATTTGGAAAAAAAATAACGAATTTTTTAGTTGTAAATTGTAATATATGCTCATTATTGAATAATTATTAGGTGCGGAGTGCATATGAGGAGAGTACTGTCTGCACAGACATAGAGTACCAAGCGGTACCTAGTGGTACCCAGCGGTACCGAACGGTACCTAGCTGGATTTTATACTAGTGCAGACGGTTCTCCCCGTCTGCACTCCGCACCTAATAATCTCATTATTAGGATTTATTATTATGTGCGGAAGTCAAATGTCATTTGAGATCAATCAGAATGTGTCATGTCATCACTTTGTTCAGTACCGCGGTTCGGCACTGCTCAACACCGCTAACGTGACACATTCTAATTGGTCTTCGGACAGCGTCTGAAAATAACAACCCGTTATGATAAGAGGGTTGTGCCTATTGGTTAGCAAAGTAGTCAACTTGTGGTGTATTCTAAATTAAGCTAAAAAGGACTTAATTTAGAATACATCAAACTAGATCACAAAGACAAAGGAATTTACCATTAACTTTGAATTCTTTTTCATCAAAGTTTTTAAATCCAATATATTTTAAATATTTTGCTTTCATTTTTCAGCAAACGAAAAAGCACTTAAATAGATTTTGAATGTTAAATAGTATAAATGTTTTTTGTTAGTTAAAAAAAGTGTGAATAAATAAAAATTACTAAGATGAATATAAATCATTAATAAATAGAAAATTTTAATGAAGGATTGTAATATAAAGATGAATATTAAAGACAAGGTAATTAAATGAAATTTAATAATTTGAATAAGTATATTAAAGAACATAAAAATTCACATATTAGATGATAAAATCACAATTTATGGATTGGAAAGAAGAAAGTATAAGCTTAAATTAATATGAATAGAACTTGTTGCGTCCTGCAATATTCGCGGCGGTAGAGAAATATATAGTTTAATTGTTTGTGTTTGGTGATGCATCAATTGTTAAACCTATTTTCTCTGAGCTATTTTGATAAAGTTCTATTCATATTAATTTAGGCTTCGTTTGGGACGGCTTTTTTATTGCTTTCTAAAATGGAGTTTTAGTAAAAAAATAAAAAAATTTGTACTAAAACTCCATTTTAGAAAGCAATAAAAAAGCCGTCCCAAACGAAGCCTAAATTAATATGAATAGAACTTTATCAAAATAGCTCAGAGAAAATAGGTTTAACAATTGATGCATCACCAAACACAAACAAGCAATAAATAATGATCCATAAAAATGACCTCATATAGTTAGAATAAAGCTAATTGGATAAACGTCGAAAGAGGAAATCGAAAAATAAAAGATAATTAGGTGTTTCTCTGCTTTTTGGTCTCTCGGCCTTTCCTCATGTGTGGAGTGGCTAATTGTTTGATTGGTAGCATTTGTCTTGATTGGTCGTATGATTTGCTTGTCTTCGTTGGATAGTGGAGCTCGTTCATTGGCTTCTTCACGGGTTTATCCCCTTTGAGTGGTTCTGATGGTAATATGGTTATGGGCTTTTTCTGTTTCAGTTTGTTTCTGTTCATCTTTGTTTTTTACAGGTGGTTTTCCTGCTTGCTGTGGATCTTTTTGGATTTGTTAGATGCAAGTTGCTGCTCCTTTGGTTGGTTCAGTTCTTGGGCTGGCTTTGCTTTTTTGTTTATTTTGTTGATTAATTGTAATTAGGAGATCTAATAGCTCTCAGGTTTTACTTTAAAGTTTGTATTTTTAGCTGAGCTTATAATTATGAGTCTTTAAGGACTTGTAATTCCCCTTTTAATCAACATGTAGGCCCCTTCATGAATTTTAATAAAATAAATAAATAAAGCTAATTATGACGCTAATTAAGATCAATTTTGGCATACATTTCACATGTTTTGAAATCATACTATGCATGCGGATGCGACATTCCACCTTATTTTTTAATAATATTAAATTATTCTTAAAATTGAAAGGGGATTTCCTCCTAAATGAAATTTATTTTCTTCGAGTTTGGAGATTAGAAGAAAAAAAAAAAAAAAGCGCTAGGCTTCGTTTCAGAAAGCTTTTGGCCGCTTTTGTTTAATGAAATTTTTTTACTAAAATACTTATATAAAAAGCAATAAAAAAATTATCTTTTTTTTTTTTGGGACAGGGAGTATCGGCCTTTGGCCACTAATCTCCCCGGTCGACCTAGCGGACAACCCACCCCATACTCATCCGGGCCAACACTTAAGGCTTTGCACGAATTGCCATGGGATTCGAACCCGATACCTGGCCTATGGCCAGCCAGCTCTTCACCACCAAGAAAATTATCTTAAATATAGTAGAGAGATTCATCAATAAGGTTAAGGAACTCGCTTAGTGAAGCTCATATTGGAAAAGTTTAAAACAAGGAAGCATACACGTTGGTCATGTTTAGAAGGAAGAACTTGCCTCAACAAAACTTGCCTTCTTAAGGCAATCATCTTAGAGAGCTCTGATGCAGAGCATCTATAAAGGTGTATTACATCATATTTAAATTATAAAATATTAAATATTATAATTACAAATATTAAATAATATATTTATAAATATATATTATATTAAAAAATAAATAATTATTAAATATTATAATTACAAAAGACGCAAAAATGATTTACGTTTTTGTGTTTTAATTAAACACGCAAAAACTGTTTTATGTGTAATTTACTTTTTAAATTACCACAAAAAAATAAAAAGCTTAAATTTATATTAGTTTAATTTGATGGTAAAGCAAAGCCGCAGAACCGTAAAACATTTCACATGAGTAAGCATCCCACTTTGCCTTGAAAGGAGTTTCAAATGATTTATTTGTATTTATTACTGTTTTTTTTTTTGGAAAGTGAGCAATCTCAATATCACCGAATATTCAATAGGATGTAAACGGGTCGAGTGCACTTCAAATAATGTTCGATGTGAGCTTTTTTTGTCTTTTCAAGAAAAAAAGATACATTAAAGAGTAAGAACAATACATCACAAGATCAAAAAATGATCACATAGATGAAAATTATGACAAAATAAAGTATAATAAACGATCGGGCCAACCAATCTAAACAAAATCAAATTTTGATATTTTTGGAGAAACCATCATCTGCAACCAATTCTAACTCCTGAATATCTTCACCATCAGGCAAAAAATTGTCCTCCTCTAGCCAATCGCATTGGCTTCGAACATTATTCTGCGCTAGGTGAGCAACCAAACCAGCATTGAAAATGACAGAAATGGGAACATTAACTAAAGGCTCCAGGATATCAAGGGGAGAATTGTGGATCACATACGACACAAGTAGCCCCTAGCTACAGACCGTCTAGAATCCACGGAAGTAGCTGAATCAACCTTCAGAGGATGACCAAAAATTGAATCCAAACTAAAAAGGATAGGGGGGAGATCGAATAAATGAGGACGAAGATTGGGAAAGGAGACCCAAATGGGGATAACATGTGACTCAACACTAACATCAACCAGAGGAGATCATTTGGTCACCTTCATATAGCAATTTTGAACTAAGTAGGAATGATAACAAAAAATCCTATAATAATCAAGGTCATTGCTCAACTTGATCAAGACATGCATCGATCAAGCAAAGTCACATAAACCTCACCTGCAAGCTTAGGGAGAAGAAAAACCTACAAATAGATTACACTGAAGGCCTCTTAGAAGGAAAAAAAAATCAATTAAGAAAAATTGAAAAAGAAGCGCATGGACATTGATTTCTTCATCCGAAATCCATAGCGACTGTAAACCATGAAACGAAGAAGGCTTGAAGTCAAAAAAATGACCAACAGAGGAGTTACCAGCAAGAGCATCAAGAAAAGACCGAGATTTGAACGATCCCTCCAAAAAACCAAGATCGCACAACCTTTTCCCCACCATTCCGGCGAGAAATGCCGGATGTGCCGAAACGAAAACAAAACGAAACACAAAATCACCACATAAAAAGAAAACAAGGGAAGAAAAAATTCCCTGGCGCATCGAGGAGCGCACGCCCCAACTGGCCGAGGAACGCCGGAATCGCCCAGGCGAGAACCCTAGCAGAGAGCGAGAGCGTGGAGCATTTGATGTTTTTCGTCAATATGAGCTTGAGCTTGATAAACTAATTGAGTTTAGGGTTTAGCTCAAATTTAATTATGTGTTCGAATCTACTTATAAGCCAGCTTAATTATTATGAGTTATGAGAGAAAAAAAATTATTTTGATTCAAATAATTATTATATTCGATTAGTCAAAAAATGATAAATTAAAATATAATTTATAAATATTCACTAGATATAAGAAAGTGAGATATAATTTTAAATTATTTTTAATAATATTTTTATTTAAACACTTGAATATAATATATTTTAATTATATTTTATATTAATATATATTTTTTTAAACATGTCAGCCCAGGAGCTAACGAGTTGAGTTAGACTTGGCTCAAATTTGACTCTTTAACTCATCCAGCTTGGTTTATAAGCCTTTTATCGAGCAGTGCATGAGCATAACTACGAATCAGCTCATGAATTAACTTGATTCACATCTCTAATTCTCTAATCACAATCACGACGCTACGGTCTTTTCGTGATTTGATTCAAGAAAATTGAATCAAATCCAGAATTGAAGCCTTTCATTTAAGGTTCGAAAATTCATCAAGTTGACCTGAATTCGAGCCCTCATCTTAAAAAAAAAAAATAATATCGAATCCCAATGAGGAGATCAGTTTGATGCTGAACACATTGAGAGCATCTACTTAAATTAATTTCCCAAAAAAAATCTACTTAAATTAAATATTCTAAAATCTGCATGGATATTGTAACTCCCACGTGTGAATGTGAGCTGTCTGTCCCCTTATCTGCGGATGGAAATGGAATCTATTAGATATTTGCTATATAATAGTGGCTTTGGTGGGGGGGATAAAATTTTTATAAATTATTACCAAATTTTGAATTAACAAGCAAGCTACAGAAATTAATAAAAATTTTTATGGAAAATTGACTCGTTATTCATATTCTGCTCATCCATTATGAACATGAATAGCACAAATAAAAGCTTGATTTCGGATATTTTTTTTATTTGTCATTTTTTTTTCTTTCAAAAAATTTTTTTTTTTGTGATAGACACTTTCTTTTAACGATAACTTTTTAAAAAATTAGTTTGTTCATAACAAATTTATAATCATAGACGGATCTTAAGTTGATTATTAAATCAAATAAAATGATCAAAAATTATTAATTATTATTGTTGCGGGCTAGAATATACGCGGCGATAGAGTTAGAATTTTTCATCTCAACATTGTACGAATATCCAGCATACAAACAGAAGATGAAATAAGAACATGATTTTTACGTGAAAAAAATTATGAAAAGGGAAAAACCACGTGACTATGCCCAGTTGAAAAAGATTCCACTGTGTTTGAATTCATTACAAGCGACTAACTCATCATCAAAATTGAGGACGATCAGATTACGATAGTCAACTGTCTGGTTGACATCCAGTTACAAATGGAAATCGAAAACCCGGCGAGGTTTGGTTGTCGAGCAAAAATATGGCTTCAATTGACAGTGTGGCAGAAATCCGGCGTCAGTCGGCGGTCGGGCAGAACTTCGACATTAGTCGGCGGTCGAGCAGAACTCCGGCGTCAATTGGCGGTCAAACAGAACTCCAGTGTTGGTCCACTGTCGGGCAGAAGTCCGGCAGTGGTCGAGGAAAGTCTAGTGGCAAGAGAGCTCTCTTCTCTCTTCTTACTTCCTTGTTTCATTCTCTTCTCTTCTTGCTGGGGTCTTCTCTCATGAGAAATGATGAGTCTATTTATAATTTTCTGAGTGGCATGACCAATAAATAGGAGAAAGATCAAGGATAATTTAGGAGTGATTTGAATGGATGGCCGATGTTGATTCCCTTGATAATGGACCTTTTAATGGGCATTTGAATGTATTAATGATATTATAATTTGGCGACCTTGGGCTGGTTGGATTCATTTAGTCGAGCCGCTTGATACGACTACAAGTATGTCATGTTTGGAAACTGTTTGATATTCCAAAGTATGGTTTGAATCTTCCAAATACGCTTTGGGTCCTGGATTAATAATATTTCATTATTTTGTTCATTTTATTAATTTTTTAAATTAATAATAATAATTTTTATTATGTCCCGGTCGAATAGTGAACCTCTCCTTCTTCTGGTTTGTTGCGCGGTTCGATTTTCAAAACCTTGCAAAATACTTACAAGGCCCTTTGGAATCCCTTGTATTTTGTACTTTTAATTTGTTTTATTTATATATACTAAGAAATAACATATAATTGAGATGTTAAAAAAATATAATATTTTTATTTTTATTGAATATCAAATAAAATAATATACAAATTCACACACACATTGTATACACAAGCTTCGAACTCAAGACCAGTTGATTAATAGTCAAAACTCCCAATCAATAGATCAAGATGAGTTGTATATTGCTGCAATATTCAATAAGTAACTATAATTTTCACTAAATTTGAAAGGTGAACCATCAATAAATAAATAATATATTTTTCAAATTTTGAAGGTCAATATTTTAAGATAAGAGAGATTTGAGTTTAATCATAAAAATATCTAATACAACTTCGATCCCCAGCAATTCAGTTTCCCTAACATGATATTGTCATTCTTACATGCTAGAAGATTTGTGTTGGTAGAAAGGATATTTACATATTATCATTGCACAAAGATCAGTTATATATTGAAAATTTCAAGAAATGATTATTTTTTCCCCTTAACTGAAAATGAAGAGTTTATAAATGATAGATTGTTAGTTTGATCTCCTATAAATATAGTGGAGAATGCTGAATAAATTATGGAGGGTAATGGCGGCAATTAAGAGGCTATTGCTATATTATTGATGTCAATGTCACCAAACAATAGTTTTAGTTAGAAGATGACCATCGAGTGATGATGGTTGAGCGATAATAGTCAGACGATGACAATTGGTCAACCAAAATTGGATGATACTGGTAGAGTGATGTCAATCAGGAAACAATAATTGTTGGCAATAACCGGCTTTTCAATCATTGGATAGAACTCAAGAATAATTCAAATTTCCAAGCTCTCCAATTTTTTATCCCTCACATTAAAAAATCAAGACATGCCATTTTTTTAGCATTTAAACATCTAAATGACATTGAAATTGAATGATCTGATTGAGACTCTCATTTTATAATAAGCACACATGATTCAAAAAAACATATGATCCCAAAACAAAATCATGAAGTTTTTAACTATGTTTTTTAGTACTTGAATAAGGTTCTTTTGAACTAAATTAAAATTGCATTTGGTGTCATTGAGTTTGCCACATTGAATTTTTGTTTTAACTATGAGTTTATTCAAATCAAAGTTATAATCATTCATAAATTAATTTTGAAAGTTGTTAATTCAAATATGCAGTCAAGATTCATATTTGATCAGATTAATTGATGAATTATAAGCAAAGTAACACCAATAGAGAGCTTGCCTATCAAAAGGAAGATCAAATCAACAAATAACAATAGTTTCCTAAATGATGTGGCTGCATAGATTTAAATATAGTTTCTTTTTATAAATTACAGGATGAAATTTCTTAAATTCCATGGATTAGCACTTGAAGAATGGAACTAGCTTTAGGTTTCGTTTCGTGCGACTTTCTTATTGTTTCTTCAAGCAGTTTTTTAGTATAAAATTTTTTATATTTGTATTAAAAAACAGTTTTAAAAAGCAACAAGAAAGCCGTCTCAAACGAAGCCTTAGTTGGTATACAACATTCATAATATAACTTCCACCAGAGTTCACAATGGCCACTTAAAGGGAATCAAGGGAACATTGGAATAGGATAGCCTCGCCCTTATTTCATCAAAACAATTATATAAATACTGTAACGTAAAAGAATTCAAAGAAAAAAAAATAATAAACAATAATATGAATAAAATGTGTAATAGAAGATTTATTAGACTTAACACTCTTAAGTTGCAAAAATAAATGGAGAATGAGCATTCAGAAACTGATTTCAAATAGATGAATAAAGCTTACCGTAGTTTTATGATGAATAGTCTTAACCATCACCTTCAGCCTCGACTCAGAATCTCAAGCCATGGATAATTTTATCTTTCAGGGGTCTGCATATACCTTTCAGCTCTGAAGATATTTTGTCAACAGCTAGTATAATCTGCAACTCAGATTCTCAACACAGATCTCAAACATCATGGCTGATCTGGTGAAACCACTTCATGTCATTTGCATCAAAAGCAGAGCAACTGATATACCAAAAGTACCATTTTTATATATAGGGATTGTGCAAAGAGATTTTTATAAAATAGATTTAACACCTCATGGAGAATGAGCATTCATAAAAACAATCCCAAAGAATGGGCATAATGTTAATGGAGATGATGATGATATTGAACAGCATTGCCCTTCACCTTCAACCTCCAGTCAGAATTCCAATACATCATGATTTTTTTCTCTTTCCAGGGTCTACAAAATACTTCCAGCCCTCAAGATTTTGTCTTTACCCCAGATAATATGCAATTCAGCTTCTCATAACATATCTCAAACATCATGTTTAATCTGGGGACTGACACCAGACCGGAGGGGGCTCGACGAATCCACGTCGATGATCCGGTGGCCGTGTCCGAGCACTAATCCAAGAACTCCTTGGTAGAAGAATCCACCACCTGAATACAATTCAGGACACAGGAATCAAAAGTAACATGGCAAAAGCCTTCATTTTATTAATCTCCAAAATCTGCCTATTACAAATATTGACAAAGTATTTATAGACAAATATAACAACGTAATAGGCTACACCAAACATAAAAAATATTGCATATCTATAGTCATACTAACAACTAAATGGAATTAAACTAGCCTCACGTTTAACCGGATTAATTAGCTCAGCTCCGGCGTCAGGGACAACGCTTTTTTAAAGCAATTCATGTGATTTGTCAGAATAACAAAACAATTGATGGATATTTGCTACTACCAGTAATCCCCACATGAACAAGCTCCATCCTGGAAATGATGAAATCGAACTGGGTCCCTAATTACAATTAGCTTGCCTTCAGTCCTCGAAACAAGCTTTGCAAAAGCATGACAGTCTCCACAGATCCTGAGATTCTTCATTATTCTGATTGGCTTCCCCGATGTTGAATTCATCATTCCAAATGCAATTGCCATCTTCTCGCCATGATACCGAATAGACTCTTCCTTCTGTTCTCTCCCCAAATCGTGCAGCACAAATTCAGTATCAGGTACATAACCCATATTACTTATTTTGCTGATCAACCTCTCTAGTTCCCTACCAATACCTTCCATTTGAGCATGCGAGAAATCCCCAGCAATGAAGACATGGGTTTCCTTCCCAACATCCATCCAACTCCGACCAGGCTCTTTCCTAATGCCTCTATCCCTCATCATCTTCCTCATCTGCTCAACATATGACCATTGCTTAGCATCTGCATAAATATTTGATAATAATATGCAAGTCCCTTCATCTCCAGGTTCTAGTTTCAGAATCTCTTGTGCTGCATAAGCAGCAAGGCTCACATTCTTATGAACCCTGCAAGCTCCAAGGAGGGTTCTCCATATAATAGCATCTGGTTTGAATTCCATTTCATGGATAAACTTCACAGCTTCCGCAAGCTTCCCTGCTCTTCCAAGAAGATCAACCATGCAGCCATAATGCTCACTTCCTGGTTCTATATCGAAGAGTTGGTTCATCGAGCGAAAATAGTACCAACCATCTTCAACCAAACCAGCATGACTGCAAGCAAAAAGAATGCCTACCATAGTGATGTAGTTCGGCTTTGCTCCTTCTGCCTTCATCAAATCAAAGAGTCTCAATGCTTCAAGACTTCGTCCATTCTGAGCAAGGCCCGAGATCATTGTGCTCCAAGATATCACATCCTTCTCGGGCATTCTTTCAAAGTTGACTTCTGCTTCTTCCAAGCTTCCACATTTGCAATACATATCAAGCAATGCATTGTTCAGAATCAGATCAGGTTTATACTTGAGCAAATGGCCATGAACTTGTTGTCCCATCTCTAGAAAGACCATACCAGTGCAAGCTCTCAGAGCACTAGTTAAAGTAGCTTGTTTAGCTAAAAAGCCAGCTCTTTTCATCTGTCTAAACAGCTTCAGAGCTTCGTGACCATTGCCTGTTTGCGCAAAGCCACCAATGACTGAATTCCACACAACAAGATCCCCTGTTATAATTTCATTGAAAACCAGGTGACCACTCTCCGAATCTCCACACCTAAAGTGGGCATCGATCAGCGAACTCCGCACAAAATCATCAGAATCCAAACCATGCTTGATGACACAACAGTGCATTGCCCAAACGGCTTTCAAAGTGTCGCAGGTTCGTAGAATTGACGAAAAGGTGAACATGTTAGGTCGAATTCCATCTCTCTGCATCCAAACAAAGAATTCCAGAGCTTCTCTCCCAAGTTCGATGTCAATAAATGCGGAGATCATGGTAGTCCAAGAGACGACATTTCGATGGGGCAGATCTCCGAACAGTTGGCGGGCATCACCAATGAGGCCAAAGCGTACATACATTCCAAGGAGGGAGTTTGAGAGGAAGAGGACAGGAAGATAGCCTGCGGAGGTGAGATGACGGTGGATTCGGCGGCCAGCATCTGCGGCTCCAGCCGAGAGGCAGAGCTTGATGAGGTGGAGGTAGTCAATGGGATCGGCTGCATGGAGGCAGCGTGAGTCGATAGTTTCAAGAGCCGCCATGGCATCGGAGAGGGGTCCATGGAGGGAGAGGCGGGTGAAGGATTGGACGAGAGATTGGTTAGGATCAAGGGTTAGGATTTTGTTAGGGAAAAGACCAGAAGAATGGTTCGGCAGTAAACAGGGAAGAACAAGAGCGCGGGAAGAAGCGCTTGTAGTGAAGTGGCGGGAGAGGCGGTTCATTACTGGTAGAAAGATGATATGCTTTACAAAAAGTAGGGGCAAGGTTAGATCGGAACAGATTATAGAGAAAATATGCCACCATCACCTAACTCCCCTTTATCTGGCTTAGTAATGTAGTTGTCATGTTTTAAGAAAATTTACCATGTAGTTGAGTGAATACTTAAACATCTACACATAAATCATATAAGAGAAGTTTATAAAAGGCGAGTTTTGTGTGAAATTCAGAAGAGAAAATTATAGATAAATTATTAGGTGTGGAGTCCGAACATATCTTTACGTCCGAACATTCCCTTAAAATTTGGCACGTGAAGTGCACATTAGTAGTAATTTTTTGTGCGTTTTACTTGCACTTTACTTATGCTTTAGTTAAATTTTAATTGCGCTTAGATTATTTTTTTGTTGCACATTTTTTACTATATTTTACCTACGCTTTAGCTGCGCTTTTAGTGTGCTTGACTTAAAGTTTTGTGGACATTAAACATATAAAATAAAAAATAAATCCTATTAAATATCAATGTGTCTACTCCACATGTCAATATTTTATTGAAGTCTGGACATATCTCTACTCAAAATTGTGGGGATGACTTAGTTGAAGTAATCAACTTTATCGTGGGAGATGACAAACATCAATGTCTTTTGATAGCCAGTGAAAGTGATGAAGTGACAAAGGTCGTTGCCCTTAGTTGATGGCATGTGATAGTAGTCAAGTGATTGTAAATATTATTGTCGCAAGAAAAATGCATTGATAGTCGAATAGTGAGAGTAAAGTGATGGCGGTCAAGTGACGATAGTCGAACGATGACAACTAGATGACGATGGTCAAACAAAGATGATTCGTAATGATAATGATCGGAATGGATCAACTCGTAGAACTTCAGGATTCTACACGTCTCTAAGCCTCTCTCCATTTCTTGATCCCCTCATGTATAAAATAACAATCTATTTATAAATTTTTAAAAGATATTTTGATTATGTATTAAATTCTAGATCGATTTGAATTAGTAAGTTGTGTGTCCGACCCAGAGAATTTGATAGTCAACCGAGCTAAACACTATTATTGGAGTGATCGATCGCCTCAAGTACTTATCACATCAATTTGAACTTTACGACCTTTGTAGAACTCGCGAGAGGCAGTAATAACATGGGGGAGTTGATATCCATATCTGCTACATACATAATCAATAATAATTATAACAAGACTCCTCAGCAGTCCAAGCCCTTATGTTAGTTATGTAAAGGGATATCATGATGATTTTTAAGCTTATTCCGATGACATTATTTTTTTCAACATTCTTGTTTAATAATTTTCTAATAAGTTCTTCGAGAACAGTCTCTCAGCTTAATTCTTTCTCTCGCATCTTAATATGATTCATTATTTTATGTGAAATATAGGCTATTTATTACTTAAAATTTTCAGATGTAACAATTCTTACACAGAAAGAAGCTCATTAATTATTTACAGATTACAATGAATTAGCCTTAATTAGACAGTTGCAGAAAATTTAATCAGAATGAGGTTGCCCTTTATTTCTTCAGACAAGGATCGTGTTAGTATTCTCATGGTTTTTTTCCAACAATTGGGCTATGCGTTCGAAAGCTCGATCAAGATACTTCAAAATTCTTAATTTTTTGCTAATTATTTGGATTAGGATTTTTTTTTGCTAATTCAAATAGTTGTGTCAAAATATTTAATTCAAATGCTTAAGTCAAGAGCTCGAAGATACTGTTGATCTCTAAGCTCTCTCTAATTTCAGTTCCTCTTAATATGTAGAATGTGCAGCTTTGATTATAATTATCCAAATGACATTTTAATTATTTAGGGCAAAATTTCAAGCAGTACTTCATTGGATGATTTATGTTGAACCCCTTGATCATATGAGATTCTTTAACAATTCAAGTGATTTAATGATATCAAAAGTACATGATCATGAGTTCATCAGATTCCTCTTGTCGCACGATATGCTTCTTTTGATTGTAAGCCCATAATATTCATTGATCCCTTGGTTTTTCGAATGGTTTCAAGAAATTTAACACTATATATATCTTCAAGTGCTTAATTTAGGTCTCCTTAGACTATGATAAAGACACTTTGGATGTCATAAGTTTGTTGTTAAAATGTTCACAAAATCATTAATTGTTAAAGTCTTTCTAGCGGTTCCTAAACCATTGCAAATAAATTAATGTGTTTAAACCATTGCAGTAGATTCTAAAAAGTGCTGCGAAAGCATGTTTTATTAGTTATGAATGAAATTTATATGATCTTGCAATTGATTCTAAAAGTTTCCCATTCAAATATTTGTGTTAATATATGTGCATGATTTGATGATTTTTTTTTTTGGTAATGTTTTAGATCAAAATCTTTGCAAACACTTTTTCAAGCATAACCAACTTCATTAAAAAAAAAAAGCATAACCAACTTCATTTAAGTTCCAAGCAAATATATATATATGTCATATGAATCACAACCGTTTGAACCCGCTCTTGCATTGCACCCCATGATTTTTTTTTTCATGAATAATTCTAGTTATTTTATAATGCATAAAATATATGTAAGAAAATAATTTGGGCCACCATCTATACATATGAAGATTGAAGAGGGATTAATAATATCATTAGTGCATAAGATTATTTGATGATATAATCAATGCTTGTCTTACAAGAAATAAAAAGAACATTTTTAATTATCATCCCATTTTACATTTTCGGAGCTATCTATCATATATAATAACATAATAGAAAGTCCACATGTGCATTATTAACAAACTCAAGAATTAAATCATAAAGATATATAAATCAAAAACTTACACCATGAGAGCATAAAGAGCAAACAACTAATTTTTAAAATTAACTTAACATAATCTACCAAAATACTTTCACTCAATCAATCTCAAAATTAATAAACAAGTTGAATAAATTAAGAGTCTATGAAAAAATTTATATTATAAGAAATGATTGTTCATAGCTATTAATCATGTCACTCACACAAGCATTAGTGTGTGATGAATGATAATATATCATTCCTAATGATTAAACTATAGGTGTTTTTCCCTAATTACAAATCCCTCATAACTTCAACTCAAGATCAATAGCTCCTAAGAATAAGTGATCAGGATCCATTTGCGCAAGGATTCTATCAGCCCAATGATTTGAGATGCCAATAAAGTCATGCAATTTGGGCCCACACTTAAGCTTCTTCTGTGCTTTCCAAAAAGCTCTATTTGGGCTAAGAGGTATCATTCGAAGATGATCATCTTTACATGGCGTGGCAATGGTGATTCTTCTTGCTCCTGAGGTACCCTTTTTGGCGCTTCTCTTGTGATGGGAGAGCATATAGTCGTGGTGTTTCTGTCTCATCTCTTTGATCTCTTTACGATGAACGGTTTGATGACCACCGAGGGACTGTTCAATAACATGCATTAGTTGAAGTTATACTGACAAAAATCAGAAAAAATTATATGCAATTTATATATCTATTTAATGGAATATACAAAGTCTAATATTTACATGTCTTGCTCGAGATTAATTTGTAAATATTTATAAAATAGAACTAAAATGGTATGCAAATATTTCTTATTTAGAGACAATAGAAGATTAATCGATATATATCTACAAACAAGGGCAGATCCAGCCTTAATTTTAAGGAGGGCAAATTTATAAGTAATTGATGGTGTTGCCTCGAATTTAGCTAGACCATTCGTTATGAAAAAATGGATCAATAGCGACCAAATAATATAGACAAAAATAAAGATGATTAATCTTTCAATTTCTACGAAATGTATTTTGAAGTAGCCTTGAATTTGACTTGACCCCTATTTGTTCATATCATTGCTTGTAGTACGCTTTGTAGATATGTCGAGGATTTAAGGGGGCAGCATCGACCTGTCCGATCAGATCGTGCGGTTTAGGGGCAGCGCCCTTGCAGAGGTTTCCGGGGGCGACCCACCGGAAACAAATCTTGGTTTAAGAATATTTTTGGAATTCAAATTAATAAATAAAATGATGAATTCTCTTTGCATTTGGTTCATCGTCTTCTAACAATTAGACCTCTATATACAATGTGTTTAACTATGCTGGGGAGGCGGGACAATTGCCTAAAGACCATTGTATTTTAAAACTTTTTTTTTTTGGTGGGGGGGGGGGGGGGTGCAATATTGCGGGGCGGCGGGAGGCACTTGCCCCGCCTCAGCTTAAGGGGGATCCGCCCATGTCTACAAATGCAAATAGCATCACACAGTAAATTTTTACAAACCAAACAATCTCTAAATCAAACAAACAAATTAAGAACAGGCAGCACAGCAACAATAAAAGGAAGAAGCCTTAGAGTCGATCCATCACTCAAGGGAGTTTATTGATCTATTTTTTTTGTTACAGGCTAGCTAATTGCGCCTCTTGCGTCGCTTAATAGAAACAATTAGAAACTGAGAATTTTTAAAGCTAACCCTAATGATGATGAAGCTGACAATATGCGATAATCAACCTGCATGGTGAAGAAGCCTTTGTTGCAGAAGGAGCAGCGGAAGGGTCCTTCTTCATTACGATGAAGGTTCAGGCTTCTGTTGATTTCCTTTATTTTAACACATGGAATCTCCATGAAGAAGAAGAAAAGATGGCAGAAATGGAGAATATTGTCAGGTTTTTAATATTTTGCTGTGTATCTCTAAGCATAGAGCTTATATTACAAGTACTGTGAGAACGAAAATAGCCAGGTCAAGAAAGTAAATATTCATTAAGTCGATTGGCTAAGTTAAATGTACTTAGTATAATATATTATATTCTATTAATGCTCTAATTCAATGTAGTTAATAAAAGCTTCATGTATATACATGCCAGATGTTCTCCTAATTTATTCCCTTAGAAAAACACTTTGCCTTTCAATTAATAACTAAACGTTAAAGTTTTTTTTTTTTATATCATTAGGGCAAATTATTGTGTCCGGTGTCCGGATTCGTGCGGACACCAATAAAAAAGCTCCATGTCACTCAAAAATACGGGGGCCCAGAGCATCCGGGTGAGGTGGCGTGTCTGGATTGGATGTCCGCATGTCAGGTGACCGGACGCAATAATTTGTCTATCATTAGAGGAATGATAG